TTAGGTATAAAGAAAAGATAAGCAAAAAAATATAAATAATTAGAAAAGAAGAACTATAATGCAGGGTCCAGAAATGGAAGCTACATTTCTTTGGACCCACCAGGATTTGTAGCTTTATCTTTGGACTTGCACAAATATTATAAATAAATATTAAATTAAATCAATTCCTAAAAAAAATCCTAAAATGAAATAAACCTACATATTACACTGGTGGCCTAGGTACACAGAAAAAACACTATCTCAAGTGCTTCAAGATTCACTCGTTCCTGGTGAAAGATAACAAAAAAAGAAAAACAAACCTTTTTACTGTTGTTTTTTGGTTTGGTTTTTTTTTTTTGGTACCGGAGATCGAACTCAGGTCCTTGCGCTTGCACAGCAGGCGGCGAAACCACTGAGCTAAATCCCCGGCCCGTTTTTACTGTTTTTAATATGTTGTCAGGAACAGTACTTGCACACTTATGCTAACACTGCTATTTGTGTACAATGAGTTATACTGGTGTAGTTGAGAAGTGGAATTTTTGGCATAAGTATACAATCTGTAAGATGAAATGAAATCTCTTTTTGCACAGACGTCCACTGGTATCCACAGATACTTAAGTTCCTTAGACAGCCTGGGGCTGTAGCTAATACTCAACACCTGGGGTTCAACCCACAGCACTACACACACAGTATTTGCACAAAACACAGTATTTGCATATGACTTAAGCATGTCTTCCCATATATCCTCCCCTATACTCCCATCTCTAGACTACTTATAATATCTAATAAAGTATTATGCTATACTGCATTATTAGGGGTAAAATTCTGTATGTGTTCAGTGGAGATGGAAAGGTTTACAGAATACTGATTTGCAGCTGATTGAATACCTCGATGTCAAACCCACAGATACTGGGGGTCAACTGTACTGTTCAACCAAAAACAACTCGAGGCATATTTTGATTTTTAAAAATAAATTTCCTACTCCTGTCCACTGAAGATGTCTTGTCCATAATGCCCAGTACAGTCTCATCAAGTACGTCTAGGACCCAGTTCACGCTCTCCAAACATCAGTTCCCAGTAAAATAGTATGCAGAAATTCTTTGACAGATGGCCAAGTAGTTCCAGGGCATGAAATGTACAAGATAAATATGGAACACTAACAATCTCAACAGTGAACAAGCTACGAACTACTATAAGCATCACCAAGATACCTCATTATATGAACACTCCTCATTATATAAACATTCCAAAATCTGGAAAAATCCAAAATATGAAATGCTTTGAGTCCCAAGCATTTCAGAAAAGGGATTCTCAAGCTCTATTAGGTTAAGTTGAAAGTTCTCGGAGAATAAGCTCAAATGAGCTCCCACTACCTAAAATGGGACCTTCAGAGCATGAACATGGAGAGTATGGCAATGAAATATAAAAACTGTTTTTTGTTCTGTTTTGTTTTGCAGTGCTGGAGGATGAGTCCAGAGTGCTGAGCTATATCCCCAGCCATTTTTATTTGCAGACAAGAGTCTCATCACCTAACTGCCCAGGCTGGCTTTGAACTGGTAATCACTCATCTTTCCCCTCAAGTACCTAGGATTACAGGTGTGAACCACTGAACACAGTCAAACACAAACACAATTCATCAATCAGTTCGTAATGATATCACAATAAATCTCACTGGTCAAAATCTTTCAAAGAAAGTAGATATTTTACTTGGAAAATAGCAAAAATTCAAAGGAAATCAATTATTCTGCCTTTCCTATACGAACTATTCCTCAGTTAATATTGGGAAGTTTCTTTTTATAAAACTGTTCCATTTTTTTTATATTTTTGGAGACAGGGTCTCTCTATGTAGTACAGGCTGACCTTGAACTCACTATGTGGCCCCAGGATAACCGTGAACTCACAGCAATCCTCCTGCCTCAACATCCCAAGTGCTGAGACTATGGATATGCACCACCACATCGGGGTAGTATTCCACTTAATGATAAAATATGATGAGTATCACTACATTGTCATGAGTCTTCAGGCATATGTGTGTAGATGTGTATTTTTGTGCTTATATGACAACAAAGAAAATGTAAACACTCACTAGACATTAAAAATTGGTAGGGAGTACTTCCAGGAAGATAGCAGAGTGGTGAACAGCAGAGAAACAGCATCTCTGAGATTTGGTGTCCAGACTCTGGAATACAGCAACACAAGGAAGAGAAGAAGGAGGGAAGTAGGTCCCTGGGAACCAGCAAGGATGTAAAGTGAGAACTGAAGAGAAAGACCTCAACAAAGAAGGAGCTGGCAACCGGCACTTTCTCCAAGCCCTGACTGTGTGAGAAGGGCAGCCCAAACCTGCAGATGCATGGTGACTATTGATGACGCAGAGGCCTCCACAGATCAACACAGCAGTGGAACAGAGCAGTGGACACAGTGGACTACAGTGGCTAGTGAGTTATTTGGCTTCAAATGTTCCCCAGGAGAGGACTATTCGCCAGTGAGCTTGGAACTCAGAGCAACAGCTGGCTCCATCTAGCAGCTAACAGCACCATGGTGAGGTGGAATTGAGTTAAAGTCAGCAAGAGGTCCAGAAGCCAAGTCCAAACTGGCAGGGAGGAACACAGAGTGTTGCAGACTGAACATATCGGGCTCCAGCCCCACAGCCAGAAACCATTCTGAACTTCACTGAACTAAAGGTACAGGTTTGCTGGGATTATCCACAACCCTGCCATAAATCTACTGCTGGCTTGCTGAGGTTAATCAACACAGATCTGGGCTCTGTGTGCCAAACTTATTTACCAGTGACGGCAGAGAACACCTTGAAGTTCAGGGCATTATTTTTTCCTTATTTTCTTTTTTGTGTTTTGTTTTGTTTTCTTTTCTTTTCCTGCTTTTATTTTCTGTTTTCTTGATTTATTGCTTGTGCCTTTATATGAGTGCAAACATTGTTTCTCGTATTTGTTGTTGTTCTGTTATTTCTTCCGTCTCTTTCCCTATCTTCTTCATCAGTTTCTCAAAGTTCCTGTGATCTCCCTTTGTCTTCCACCCTTGCTTCTAATCTCTTCCTCTTCTTCTATGTCTTTATTTTTCCCCCAAACCCCTTTTAAATTTTCTCCCCTGAGGGTAAAATCGCCATATTGAGAGCATATTTACTGCATACAATTTTGTGGTTTGTTTTTGATTTTGTTATATAACCACAAATGTAATTTCTATGGTTAAAGATAGCAAATCAATAATTACCACAGTTTGTCATTTTCTAGGCTGTGTTTGATGCTACTACTCTTGCTGATTGTACTACTTTAGCCAAGGTGACATAATTGTGCTATTCAGTTGTTCTTCCTGGTAAGCTGAGACTGCCTAAGAGTCACAAACAATACTATAGGCCAGTGCCAAAGAACCAGCATCTAGGCCAGAGAGGCAGCAACTTGGCATCCCCAATAAACTGAAGGGGTAGGATCTTGCAAGAGACTCAAAACCAAAAAGCCAGCTATACCTGGAAGACATCTCTGAGAAGGAGTTATTTCCTGAGAGTTCTAAATACCAGCAATAAAGCTAATTGTCATAAGAAATTTATAAGCTTCAACCCAGGAATTAAACTACAAAAAAAAAAAAAAAAATGAGAAGACACTTGAGCAAGATGCAACACCAGACCACCAGCTCTCAAAAGGCAAACCCAGGGGGCAGTAAGGTAGAACAATTTGAAAGCCACCCACCTTGACTCTCTGAAATGGTAACAATGGAATTAACAAAGCAGACGAAAGAGGCTCTAGAAAACAATCAAATCAGAAATAATTTCTCATTGCAAGTGCAAGGTCCCAAATTCGATCCCCAGTACCAAAAAAAAAAAAATCCCAAAAAACCCAGAAATAATTTCTCAGGTAACTATAGAAATGGTGACCATAATGAAAGACTTGGTTAGTGACTCTAGAGCAGAAACAGATAAAAACATAGACGACCTTAGGAAAATGATGGCAACCATGAACACCCAACATAGGAAATAAATGGACTCCATGAAACAGATTCAAACAAATATCCAGAAGATGAAAAATTCTACTGAAAGTATATAAAGCACAATGAGCCAATGTAAGGACAGAATATCAGATTTAAAAAAAAAAACAGGACTGCAGTTAGTGATCATGAAAAGATTTCTTAAAAATAGCAAGGGAGGGCCGGGGATTTAGCTCAGTGGTTTCGCCACCTGCCTCGAAAACGCAAGGACCTGAGTTCGATCCCTGGTACCAAAAAAAAAAATAGCAAGGGACTACAAAAAATCATTCCAACAGCTGCTAGATGATGAAAAAAAGAATGACATAAGATTGATCAGAGTGAATAAAAATGCAAAACAGGTAGAACTCTTGAAGATATTTTAGACAAAGACTTTATGAACAAAACCCTAATCACACAAAAAATATCACAACGAATCAACAACTGGGATTGAATACTATTAAAAAGCTTTTGCACAGCAAAAGAAACCACCAACAGAATGAAGAGACAACCCACAGAGTGGAATAAAACTTTTGCCAGGTGTTCTTCAGACAAAGGACTAGTATAAAAAGAATTCAAGGGCTGGGGATTTAGCTCAGTGGTTCCACCGCCTGCCTCGCAAGCTAAGGACCCGAGTTTGATCCCTGGTAC